CCACCGAATACAACTTTAACCAGATGCCCAGACTCCCTGTCCCCTTCCATTTTTTAGATAATATGTCTTCTCAAATGTAATCGAGAATGAATTTTTTCCTTCATTCTTTTGGGTTAAGTCTATTAAGTAAAGATTTTTCATTGTTCTTCCTAGAGTAAAATCTATATACTCTCCTTATTTGAAATGGATTTTGTCACAGATTTTATAGGTTATGCTTCAAAGATTTTAATGTAAATCAGAGATGAGAATGCTATAACTAAAGATTTTATTATGATAGAGGCTCCACTAAGCCTATTAATTGTTAAAAATGACTTAAATTTAGATGCAATTTGTTGAATAAAAGTTTATGAGTTACTTTTTCCGTGTGTAGCAGATGCCTTTAAAATCTGCTCTTTTAAACCACAGGTGATTGCAGTTGCTTCTGCTCCTCAGGGAATTATCTCTAGAGGTGACAGCTGGCTACATTAACAAAATCCTTTGAAATTGGGCTGTGCATTTGAAAAGTGAAGTCCATAGAGTTTAGATAGAGGTATCAAAACAAATAAATATTTAAATTGCTTAGCTAAAAAATAAGAAATAACAGGGACATTTTCAGTGTGGGAAAGTAGAAGAGGGAAGTAAGGCAAGTGAGCTGAAGGGGAAGGAGAAAGAAACAAGCAGCATAAAGAGGCATCCTGAGAAATATCAGCCCCTGTACAATTCAGAACAGTCCATGAATATTTATTGATTTTATTTATTTTTTATTTATTTTTTTGGAAACAGAGTCTCACTCTAGAGTCTCACTCTGCCACCCAGGCTGGAGTGCAGTGGTGTGATCTCGTCCCACTGCAACCTCTGCCTCCCAGGTTCAAGTGATTCTTCTGCCTCAGTCTCCTGAGTAGCTGGGATTTCAGGCGTGTGCCACCATGCCCAGCTAATTTTCATATTTTTAGTAGAGATGGGGTTTTGCCATGTTGGCCAGGCTGGTCTTGAACTCCTGACCTCAGGTGATCCACCCACCTGGGCCTCCCAAAGTGCTAGGATAACAGGTATGAGCCACCGCGCCTGGCCAACCCTATGAATATTTTAAAGCATAGGTGTCAAGTATTTAATCATGAATATTGTTGTGTGGTATTTTCTGTCATCATCTTATTCCTTTCCATTCCACTGAAGCTTCATTAAAATCAAATACCAGCAACAGCCTATAGTAAGAGGAATTATAGGAAATCAAGGACATTACTTCATATTCTTCCTTTCAGTTGTAGCACAGAGGAAAGGACATGTGGTCTAGATTTCAGACACAGGAAGGTTGACCTGCAGCTGATTATAAGAAGTGGCAAGAGCACAGGCCTCTCATCAAAATTAGGCTATTCACATAGATTTTGAATAAACAATATAGATTCTTATTGATATGACTCTCATTATTAAGGTTCTACATTGTCAGTATTCCTGCCTTGCTTGGTGTGAATTCAATAAAAGTTTGAAAGGGAGTTAAGGAGCCAAATAAGTGGAATACCAACACTTAACATACTTATTTGTATATCTTAACCTTTGTAAGGTTAAGCTTTCTCCTTCGCCAATCATTCCATAATTTACTCTCTTTTTTTCCTTTTTTTTTAAGACAAAGTCTCGCTATGTTGCCCAGGCTGGAGTGCAGTGGCGTGATCTTGGCTCACTGCAACCTCCACTTCCGAGGTTCAAGAGATTCTCCTGCTTCAGCCTCTGAAGTAGCTGGATTACAGACACATGCCATCACATCCGGCTAATTTTTTGTATTTTTTAGTAGATATAAGGTTTCCCCATGTTGGCCAGGCTGGTCTCGAACTCCTGACCTCAGGCGGTCTGCCCACTTTGGCCGTGCAAAGTGCTGGCATTACAGGTGGGAACCACCGCACCGAGCCCCATAATTTGATTCCAACTTTTTGTTGCCACCTCTCATGAAAGGACTAAGATAAGCTAAGATAGAGTATTTTTTTTTTTGAGACAGACTCTCACTCTGTCACCAAGCTCGAGTGCAGTGGCCAGATCTCAGCTCACTGCAACCTCTGCCTCCCAAGTTCAAGGCATTCCTCTGCCTCAGCCTCCTAAGTAGCTGTTACGACAGGCACGCACCACTACGCCAGGCTAATTTTTTGTATGTTAGTAGAGATGGGGTTTCACCCTGTTGGCTAGTATGGTTTCCATTTCCTGACCTTGTGATCCACCTGCCTCAGCCTCCCAAGGTGCTGGGATTCGGGGTGTGAGCCACTGCGCCCAGCCGCTAAGATAGAGAATTTAAGATATTACTGTGTGCATTCTATTCCTGCATAACCTGAGTGGAACTCTCTTTGCTGTCACTAAATGTAGAGACTTTATTTCTTTTTCTTGCTATCCAGTCTCACTAGCAATATATTCTGTAGGAAATCTAGCAAGTTTCTGACTCATAGATGCAACCTTCTATATTTTACAGGTTGATAGAGTTTGTTTATTTTATTATTTCTTTGTTTTTTTGTGTGTGTGTGAAGCCCCCACATTTAGGTTACCTGATGCACAGTAAGTTCAACACGGACATATTAGTGCTTAGGAACAGAGAAAGGTTTATTTGATTTGGCTAAAGTGTGAGGGTGGGAGAGACAAATTTGTCAAATCTAACGTGTGTTTGAACATGGCAGCTTTTATGAGTAAGGTGAGTAGTCGGAGGGGAGATCCCCTGAGGATCAAATCTCTTGTGCCCCTTGGTCCGGTCAAACTGCTGGACACCATCAGGGAAGTCTGCATGACCTAAGAATCATTGTCCTTTGAAAGAAAACCAAGTGCATTATTCTTTCAGGTGGCCCCTAGGGGTTAGTATATTAGCCAATTATTCGTGACTACTCTCTACTGAAATGAATATGTGCAAGCAGCCATGCACACAGGAAAAAAAAAGGACAAAGAAAAAGGAAACTAAGTAAAACAAAAATCTTATGATTTTCATAAGATAGGCTCAGTTTCTTTCAGTTTTAGAAAGAAATGGAACAGTCTCAAATCACTGTTTGAAGAAGAAAGCTAATTTTTTAAAAGAAAAATGAAATCTAGCCATTTCACTTTTGGTCATTCACACAGTATGTCTCACATTCGTTTTTTTCTTCCCAATACACCATCGCATGATTCATTCAAGGCTTGCAGCCTCACACTTGGAACTTGCCAGTAGACTCCTACTTCCAGTTTATGAGAAATGTTACTCTATATTCACATTAAAGGTGGATTTTCCATCCATGCCATACAACAGGGAGAAGTGCAGTTTGCTAAATAACATTTCTCTAAGATCCCTAATTAAAATATTTTATTGTCGTTCTTATTTAAAGAATCATAGGTATCAGTGTATAAAGAAATAAACTTTTTTCCTCACATTATCTCAAATATGAGCTCCTTAGCAAGTGTCTACAGAGGATTCGTGCTTTGTGTTTTATTGTTTTCATATGTACTACATCATAATGCTTAAGGGTCCTTCTCTCTGTCTCTGCAATGTGGCTCTTTGGGCCACTGCTCAATGGCATCTCTTTGAAAGCCCACACCATGTTCCTCATGACTTTCTCTATTCATTCCTGTTCTACCACCTGGGACACTAACTACTTCATGTCCCTCAAGGACTTCAGCACCTGCCGTCCACCCTTACTTCAGCCCTTTTGATCTCTGCTGTCTTTCCAAGTGACACACATCATTAAGGGTATGTCCCTGCTAACTGTCAATCTCACAATCTCTGGATCTTCTCAACAAAAGTCTTCAATTCCATCAGGCCACAACTCTGTGGAGGCACAGCTCTATCTCAGCCTAATCCTCACCAAAAACATCCTACGTATAAACTTTCATAAGCTAAAGTCTTCCTCTCTGATCATATTGCAGGCCCAATATGGATTTAGCCATTCACTACTTTATTTACTGTCCCTAATGGACTGCCTACCATGTTTCATCAGTCCCAGATCTACTATCAGGCAACCAAACCCTTACTTCCAGCACATTAGAGTATCCTGCTCCAGTCCTAAACCCCAAATCTTGCTATAAAAATTAAATCACCTTATAACATAACACTAAAAGCATCTAACTGGTAAAAATTCTTTTATGCCTCTCTCTCCCTGATTTTGTAGATTTTGATCTTAAAGAGAAAAATCTAAAGAAGAATGTACCCATTATTAGCAGATGAGGATACTTGAGAATGTTAACATTTTGATAAGACAGATATTAAGAAAAGATTTCATGTTGTTTTATCAATGTATTCTAATAGCCCATGTACAACATGTAAATGAACTGGAGAACATTATTTCCACATCTGAGGGAAACAGAAGATGTAATTTGTTACTTACTGCATAATGGGGAAAATGGAAATTTATAAAACCACCTGAAGAACTTTAAATATATCAATGCCTGGACCCTCTAACAGATCAATTAAATCAAAATATCTGCTGTTGGGTTTAGGCATTAGTATTTATTCTAATTTGTACAGGTGAATTATAAGACTCATACAGGGCTGAGAAGTACTCATCTATGTAAAAGGTTAAATGTTACCTAACTCTGACAATAGATCATTCTGAGAACCATCAGAAGCCATGGTCGCGTTAAGGGTTCACATGTTTATTTTCTATTTCCTGAGATTTAATTTGCCCAGATGGCTTCCTAATTGATTTGTTTTACTTTAGGTTCGTTGAAAATCTCACTCATTCAAAATGAACCCAAAATGTACTATGAATTTTAATTACTGTGTGTGTGTTTGGTGATTTTAGCTTAAATCTGAGGTTTTATCATACAGTGAGAACATACAGAACTTCTGCTAATGTGGAATAACTTGAAAACTAAAGTATTGGTTTCCAATTTCAGCTTTTCACACGGAATCGTGATTTTATTGTTTATTAGCTAATGTATTCAGAATGACTCTACAGTAGTCCACCCTCATCCGAGTTTTGCTGTCTGTGATTTCCGTTACCCGTGGTCAACCACTGTCTGAAAATATTAAGCAGAAATTAATTAAATAGAAATTTCCTGAAATAAACAATTCATAAGTTACATACCATTCTGGGCTTCGTCAGAGTCTACTTTGTCTACTTTGTAGAGTCCCTCTGAGGGAATGTGTTCTCTTTCTGGGTCCACGAAGGGGGATAGCTTTAAGGGCAAGAATTTCCCTGGCGCCATGCCTGCTCCCATCTCTCTCCATCCGGGAGATTCAACAGTTTATGTTTGAATTTCTCTGGCGCGGGAAGAAACTAAACGTCAATCACTCCAGCGGAAGTTCTAAGGAACTCCTTTCATTGGCCCAGCGTCTTGGAGAAGGTAGGGGTTTCTCCCAGGATAAAAGTTCATGCTCCCTCACCTGCACTGGATTTTCTAGCTTCCCGGAATCCCCTTCCACGGGGTGGGAGCTCCCTCTGGGATTTTCTCCTCTGGAATCCCCTTCCATACTCTTCGTGGAAGCCTTTCTCTTCTCCTTTCCTTCTCTTTTCTCTACCTAAATAAAATCACCTTTCTGCAACACTTTTTTGGGTCCGATATTCACTTTGAGCATACGGTGAAGCTGAAGCGGCCCCACAGCTTATTTATTAAGAGATTGGAGGGCTGGATGCCGTGGCTCAAGGGACCGGGCGCGGTGGCTCAAGCCTGTAATCCCAGCACTTTGGGAGGCCGAGGCGGGTGGATCATGAGGTCAAGAGATCGAGACCGTCCAGGTCAACATGGTGAAACCCCTTCTCTACTAAAAATACAAAAAATTAGCTGGGCATAGTGGCGCGTACCTGTAATCCCAGCTACTCAGGAGGCTGAGGCAGGAGAATTGCCTGAACCCAGGAGGCGGAGGTTGCGGTGAGCCGAGATTGCGCCATTGCACTCCAGCCTGGGTAACAAGAGCGAAACTCCGACTCAAAAAAAAAAAAAAAGAGATTGGAGGCCAAGAACCCACAACGATCACCGGCATTCAAGAAAAACCCGGTTACACCTGTTTGTCCTGTGACTTCATGCTGTCTAAGCACCTGCCCTTAGTCACATACTAGCCCTTTTGGTTACCAGAATGACTTTTCAGAGAGCCCAATACTTGTCAAGAAACTCTTATTTTACTTAATAATGGCCCAAAAGCATAATAGTAGTGATGCTGGCAGCTCAGATATGCCAAGTGAAAGTTCTTAATAGAAAAAGAATAAATGATCATATGCTAAGGTCACTAAGCTCTGTAGTAATAACGAAACTTCTATCTATGAAATTGTGAATAACATATTGTTATAATTGTTCTATTTTATTAGTCATTGTTATCTCTTACTGAACCAGTTTATTAATTAAACTTTGTCATAGGTATGTATATATAGAAAGAAAACCAGTGTTTATAGGGTTTAGGATTCAGTACTATTTATGGTTGCTAGCATCCACTAGGGATCTTGGGACATATACCCCCATGGACAGGAGGGCACTGCTGTAACTATCTTGTTTTCAAGGAAGCATTCTCAGTTAAGCATGATGTTTTATTTTCTTGTTATTTTTTACATTTCTCTGTCTTAAATTTTATTTATTGCAGAGGTGATGGAATGGGTGATGTACTTTCTAGATTAAAACTAGATTTGATCCATATGTACAGTCAAAACTGCTTGTAAATAAGATGAACAAACAGCTCAGGGGTGACTGTTGCAAAAAATACTGTCTCATTACAGTGAGATGACCCGCTTTGTCTGATCCAGTGTATGTATATTTCTCTAGGACCACCAGTTGATCAGGTTACCCCGTAGGCATTGCCTGTTCTCACCGCCACGCTTCTGGCTGGCCTGCTATGGAACAACATAGGAGTGACACAGCATGAACATGGGATGAAATGTTGTCATAGCCTGCATTACACACACAGTAACACTGTTTAGGCTTGGAACCATCTCATATATCAGTTTCACAGTCATCATAGGCAGCAGTAGCAAATGCATGCCCTTTCTAGCTGGTTATTTAATAGAAGTAGTAAAACTGGGGGTGTACTTGTTGTTCTTAAAGGTCAAATGAATTAGAAAACAAATGCTGAGGCTTTTATACAGCAACATACATTTTTATGACTTAAGCAAAGAAACTTGGAAACGGAATAAAATGTACTGAACCATACAAGTACAGTTCTAACAAACCTTGAACCTACTCGGGTGCCCTCTGTGAAGCAATCACTGACAAGTGTTTAAGATGCAGTGAAATGATTTCTCACAAAATAAGTGGAAAATATACCCTGGATTTTGTGGTTGGAAATGTCTAACACTTAGCTTGACTGTAAAAGACAAGGCAATCAACCTCAAGCACTGCACAACCCAGGGGTCTCATCTTTATCCCCTCATTAGAAACATGAAAAACTGATGAGAAAAAGGGTTATTCAGTACAAAGACACCAAATTCATGAGCTGCAGAGCTGGAACTAACACCCAAATCAACTAACTTCTATTCTAGGCATACCCAAGATGTCTTTCAAATTTGGGATCAAGGAAATGGTCATTTGCTTAATTTTTGTACCATAGCTTTGTATATTAAGAAAAATCAATTAAAATCTTCTCAATTTTTAAATAAAACATCTCTGTTATCTGAAGAATTTTGTTATCTTAATTAAGAGCCAAAATCTCAATAGCTAATAGGCCAAGGGTCTAGTCCCAACTCCCACACAGACGTCATTAGGTGAATGGGGTTGAGATAAAAAATACCTAAATTTCCTACTGACCTGTGATTCTTTAATCTATGGCAAAGTATCCACTTAAAATTCATTTGATATTTTCTTTCTTTCTTTTTTCTTTGGAGATGGAGTCTTGCTCTGTCACCCAGGCTGGAGTGCAGTGGTGCAATCTCAGCTCACTACAACCTCTGCCTCCTGAGTTCAAGTGATCCTCATGCGTTAGCCTCCTAAGTAGCTGGGATTACAGGCACATGCCTTCACACCTGGCTAAGTAGAGACTGTGTTTCACCATGTCAGCCAGGCTGGTCCTGAACTCCTGACCTCAGGTGTTCCTCCTGCCTCAACCTCCCAAAATGCTGGGATTACAAGCATGAGTTGCTGTTCCCAGCCTTGATATTTTCTAATAATTAACTATGATAGAATAATTTTCTTTCAGAAGCATTCAATAATTATATTTGATTATTGTACTTTGACTCCAAAGTATTCTTATGTATTTAAAAACCAAATACTCAGCCCAGTGCAGTGGCTCAGGCTTTGGGAGGCTGAGGCTGGCAGATCACGAGGTCAGGAGTTTGAGACCAGCCTGGCCAACTTGATGAAACACAGTCTCTACTAAAAATACAAAAATTAGCCAGGAGTGGTGGCACATGCCTGTAGTCCCAGCTACTCGAGAGGCTGAGGCAGGAGAATTGCTTGAACCTGGAGGCAGAGGTTGTAGTGAGCCAAGATCGCATCACTGCACTCCAGCCTGGGTCAGCAGAGTGAGATTCTGTCTCAAAAACAAAAACAAAAAACGAATGCACATGTGAAAAATGTTAAAAAAGCACTTACCTAACAGGGTTCAAGATAATATCTATAGACAGCTAAAATAAGTTAATAGCAAATAAACTACTACCAATCACAGAACATTATTATTATAATAATGAATATACTTATGCAACTCTAGAGGAAACTAGAAATGGCTATGATAGCTTTACATTGAAAAGTATTGGTACCTTCATATCATTCCCTTAAAATAACATCTGACAAGTATTTGTATTTTTTTTAAATCATATTATCTGCTGACACTAGACTTGAAAGGAACACCAGAAACCATGTATTTCCAGGGAATTCCTGGCTTTATCAGAACACTTTCTTTCTATTAAGGAAAAAGGTAAAGGTCTATTATACATTGCTGTGAATTTCTTTAGTTGAGACAAATTCACAGTAGCCTGCTATCTTTCCACACTCAATAATGTCTGTCAATCCTAAATAACACCCTTAATGAAAACCACCGACCTAGTTCAACTCTCTTATTTTATAGATGAGGAAATTCAAGCCCAATGTTATCAAAGATGGTGAATTAGTATTAGAAAAGGAATGCCAATGTGCAGTAAAGGATTAATCTTGTGTAAAAAGAGGCACGGCCTTGGGCTTGGCTCCTGGGAACTAACTTCAAAGCCCTTGGAATATCACTTGTCCCGTGAAAGTGTCTTTGTTTCTTTGTGAGATTTGGGACATGCATAGAGTCAATGCTAATAAAACTATTTAAGTTGGAGATGTTGGGCTTGGGACATTTATCAGTTCAACCACTGGAGGGGCTGGCAGCTAAGGTCAGCTACATAGGTAGCACCTATATGTAACTGACCAATCTCCAGTAACAATTCTGGACACCAAAGGTGGGGTGAGCATTTCTCATTGGCAATACTTCATGCATATTTCCACATGATGTTGCTGGGAGCAATAGGGGCCATCCACAGGATTCCACAGGAACAGGACAAGTGGAAGCTTATACCTAGCAACTCCTGGACACAGCCCTTCCCTTGGCTGACCTTAGTCTGTGTCCTTTCAGTGTAATACATTGTAACCATGAGTAGAATGGCTTTTCTAAGTTCTGTGAGTCATTCTATCCAATTATTGAACTTATGGGCAGGAACTCTTGAACACTGAGCAATCACTAACTTGACTTCCTTGGTGCGTTTCTCTTTTTATAATATGTGAATAACCCATACCACCCATTTTCAATGTAGCCCAGTAAAGAAGAGTCAGTACGCAGAAACACTCTCCAAAAATAAGATTCAACATATAGTTTATATCCTTATTATATAAGTATTATATAGGTGAGCAATCATAAATATAATCTAAGAAGTAAAATTTTTCTATTAACAGTAAGGTTCACATGAATAAATTAGGATTTTTGAAGCACATTTAATTTTACTAAGTATTTTTTAACTATTTCATTTATTTTACTCATGGCCTGGCATAGTACAAAACTATTATGGCCATTTGTATTGTGAGATCTAAAATTTTAACTGCTGCCTTGACATGTCTGAGTCTCACAGGGACCCAAAAGCTTGTGTGTTTTCCCTCCTCTCACTAGGTATGCCACAAGCTAGAGGGAAAGGTTTCCTGCTCAGTTCATTCCTTTATTAGTTGGGGCAGCTGCACCCTACAGTCCTCAATTGTTCCTCAGCAACCAAATAGGTTACATCTACCTGCCACGGTATTCAAGGAAGCCAATCACATCCTCCCATGGGAACCAAAGGGCACCCCACCCCTTTTCTTAC